GGAAGTAGGAGACAGCAATTTTGGACAACTGGGAAAGTTTGAATATAATGTTAATACTTGTATACACCATCACCAATGTTAAATTTCTTCAATGTGATTCAGTTTTTTAATTACATAAAAGAATATGTCTCTTTTTAGTATATTCATGGTGAGGTATATATCGGTCAACATCATAATGGCTCTAGGTTTTTTCTCTTTTCGAATGGAAAAGAGAAAGGATGGAAAGAGAAAAGATAGCAAAATGTGAACAGGTAAAGCTAGCTAATGAATATAGGGGTATTCACTGTCCTTGTAGGTTTTGGTTTTCAAGAACAGTAAGTCAGAAGGAAAGCAAAAGATAGCAAAACAAAATAAAATTTCATGAGAAAATAAAGAGGCTGGAGCCATGACTCAGTGGGTTAAGAGTACTCACTGTAGAAATCTGAGGACCCGAGTTCAGATCTCAGCACCCAAGTAAAAAGCCAGGTTGAGCCATGCTTTCCTGTAAGCCAAACACTGTAGGGAGTGGAGACAGAAAGATGAGGTAGGAAGGCTTTTCATCTGCCTATCTAGCCCAAGATCCAGTGAGAGACCTTGTCTCAAAAGAATAAGGCATATGGAGGTAAAACAAGGCATACTCTATGTCATCCTCCTGGCCTCCATTCATGCAGATGTGTGCACATGTATACACACACACACACACACACACACACACACCACTCACATACATACATACATACATACATACAAACATATATACACACTCACAATATACTCAAAAAGAAAAAAATGAAAAGACAGAAACATACCCAGAAGCTGATAAGTCTCAGCTAGCTAGGGGATTAAACAAAAGAGAGAATGGGGAAAGTAGTTTCCCTGCCACTCCATGCAATCCAGCAGACTTTCAGCGACAAACATTACAATGCATCTTATCTGGTGTCTGTATTTTCTGGAAGAGGAAAACAAGGAAGGTCTCAGCTCAGACTGACTTCTGCTACACTTCCCAGTGCCAGTAAAGACTGCTTAATGGCAACTGTAATAACAACAGTAACAGAACTGGCAAAGGATTCTCCAAACTGCGGAGAACATTCTTTAGGGAATACCAAAGAAAAGCTGTCATGTTTCATTTTCCATAAGGTCCTAAATTTAAATAAACATTTAAAATTGGGAGTGAGGGGCTGGAAGACATAGGGCTAGAAGTGACCATAGAGAATCTCTCCAGCAATTGTGAACATATTGTGACATTTTAAATAACTAAAATAACTTAATGAACTAATTTTTACTAAATTTATTTTTAATTATTTTTAAAATAAGTTTGCTACTTAGCATTTTTCAGATTTTAATTTCATGTGTGTGTGTGTGTGTGTGTATGCATATATGTGTGCTCACATGCACACATGCAGGTATGTGTACAGATGTATGGGCATGCACATGGAAGCCAGAAATCAACAAGTATCTTCTTCAATAGTTTCCCGCCTTATTTTTTAGACTCAGTGTCTGGCTGAATCTGGAGCCCACTTATTCAGCTAGAACGGTTGGCCAATCAGCCCCAGGGATCCTCTCTCTTTCTATACAGTGTGGAGATTACAGTAATTTGCCATAATTTTTTTTCCTTTCTTATTTAACTTTTTACACATGTTCCCTCTTCCTCCCCTCCTCATCCAACCCCCCAATCCTCCCAATCCTCCACTCCACTCCATCCCCCTTCCGCTCCTTCCACGAGGGATTTTCAGAGTCTGTCGTATCATGCGGGCAATTTTTATATGGGTGCTGGGAAACAACTCAGGTCCTCATGCTTCCATGGCAATCACTCTACTATGCCATTTCCCCAGTCTCCTCCCCATTTCTTCAGATTTTTAAGTAAAAACAGAGAAGAAATAGTTTGATTAAAAAAATCTTCACTAGAGAAATTTTCTGTTCTAGTTTAAGGTACAAACTTCAAAGTCAAAAAGTTGTGGATCTCTTTCTGCCCTTTAGCATTTAAAAAGTTATATTTCTGAGTGGTCTCAAGGACAGAAATAAAAGAAAATATATTAGTGCTCTCAGAGTGCTCTGTACAGAGCAAAAAGCAACAATAGATCATTAACTGAAAGCCCATCGACATAAAAGTTTAAGTGCAAAGTGAATTTCAGCAGACAGTAACTATATTTAATTTCTGTTCATTTCATAAATTCCAATTCTCCAAGTTAGGATAGCATGCAACATGGGACTTAAATGCATGATGACCCGTTGCTTCCCTAGAAAGCTGGTCATGTTGGCATGCACTTATACATTCAGAGCAGAAGAGGCGAGACAGGCAGATCCCCAGCCTAACCTATTTTGTGAGCTCCAGGTCAGCGAAAGACCTTATTTCAAAATAACATGGGTAGCATTTGCAGAAAACAGCAAAGTTGCCTTATGGCCTCCACATGCATATACATACATGCACCCAAACACAGACACGCATGTACACACACACACACACACACACACACACACACATGCACGCACGTGTGCACACACACAGAGAATTATTGGACTCTGTTAGAGCTGGCACCAATTCAGTCTCTGCCAACAACTAGTGTATAATACTGAAGAATTCTTTAATCCAAGTCTAAGTTTCTCTGTCTATAACTAATCGGAGCTTCCTCTAAGAGTTTTAGAGAAAATGAATGAACGCACTAAGTATTCAATGAATGATATCTATGATGTGTATTTTCTTATCTGTTACATATCACAAAAGAAGCAAAATAGTACAAGTATAGATGGTATTTCTGTGTATAGATGGTGCCTAACCCACAAAAAGAAGATGGCCTTGAATTTTTTTTTATGAGGGTTTCTTTGTGTAGCTTCGGAGCCTGTCCTGGAACTCTATACAGACTTTTCGTCCTCAAAATTACCACAACACACAATAGCCAGAGTACTGTGATGGACCTGAGTGATCACACAATAAAACAAAACAAAACAAACACTTAAGCAATCAGACCCCCAAGAAGTAAGTATTAAGTTTTGGCCATGGCCCTGACAATTGTTAGCTATGTATTCTTGAACAAATCAGTTTCCCTCTCAAAACTTCAGTTTCCATTCTGACAAGAGCAAACCTTCATACCAGGTTATGAAGCTCAAATGACATGAAAGGGTCTGGCCTATAAGTAATCACTACAGAAACAGAAGGTATTTTTATAAGAAAACTTAATTAAAGCCACTTTTAAGGCTGGAGATGTGGCTTGGTTGGTGGAAAACATGCCAGGAATGTACAAAGCCCTATGTTTGATCCTCAGCACCAAGTACATGTCTGTAATCCCAACACTCCAGAGGAAGAGATAGAAGGATCAAAAGGAGTTCAAAGTAGTCATCAGCTATATAGTAAGTTCGAGAGCAGTCTCAAGAAAAAAATAAAATGAAAAGGTAATTTCCGAAAGGAGCAGCTGTGGGAGACATAGGAGGGTGGAATAGCTGATGGAAAACTACTTTGTAGCAAAAATGCATGAGCTCAAATCCCAGCTCTCCTAGTTGAAAGCTGTGCAATTTTGACAAGTATTTGCCATCAGCTGCTTAAACTATACAAAGAGGAATAATGAAACTTCACTCAGGAGAGGGGTATGGTTGAGGCAGCAGAATTAACATAGATTTGACACCAGCCTGAGCTACATAGTGAGACACTGACTGTCTCAAAAGAAAAGAAGATTAAAATATTTTCAGGTTTACTATGAGTAAATAAAATGCACGTACACTATGGTGAACACTTTCAAAAACTCAGGAACGAAAAGCTATTATTTTCTATAAAAAGCTTTCAAATTATCCCTAGCCCTTGACACAGTAATTTCATATCTAATCACTTGATTGTGGAAGCAATCTGAAATAAACAGCTTTGCATGAAGAAATCCTTCAAAGTGTTATTTGTATTTAGCATAAAACTGCAATATTAGAAAAATACTTCAGTATATTATAATCACCTATGAAATGAAATGATATATTTACCAATGGAGAAAACATTGTCTACAAAACAGTTATAAAATTGAGAAATATTTATATATAACAATATTTTGTGTTGCAAGCACAGCTTCAAAAACTAATATTTAGGATGATTAAAACATCTCAAGAAAATATCTGGAGTTTGTAATCTCTGGGGAGTAGACTTATGGGTATTGGTTAGTTCTATTTGCTTCCATATCTTCCAAAATTTCTAAAACTGAGAAAATTGATGGGGACAGGGAGCTGGCTCAATAGGTAAAGTGTCTGCACCACAAGAAGAAGGACTTAAATTTGGATCCCCAGCACTTATACATAAAGCCGAACATAGAGACATTACCTGGAACATCTCATGTTCAGGAAGTGCAGACAGAAGGATGTCCGAAAATCACTGGTCAGTTTTTCAGAATTGGTAAGCTACAGGTTAATTGAGCAATACCCTCAAAATGTAAGGTTAAAAGTGATCAAAGACACAGAAAACCAATCTCTGACGTCTACATGCAGGCATATGCACATGTGCACACACCACAGATGCAAAAATCTTTTTTTTTACTAAAATGCTCATCTATAGATGAATGAGGGTAAACAGCATTGCATTAGCATTTCAGATGGCTATTATATGAGGTCATAATAAACTTTGACATTTTGAACAAGGGACGATGAAAGAACAAAAAGAATTATAAGTAAATAGCCCTGTGATGGTTAGTGTAGTCATCTTGACAGAATATCTGGAAAATGGGTCTCTGGATAGGTCTGTGGAAGATTACTTGATTATTTTAATTGAAGTGGGAAGATCCACCTTAAATCTGGGAAGGGATCCTACTCTTTACAAATGGAAAAAGTGAGATGAGCAGCACCATGCATTGATCTCGCTGTTTCTTGTCTACAACTGCCTCAAGGTTCTGTCACTATGACTTACCCACCATGATGGATGATAACCTGGAACTGGGATCCCAAATAAATCTTTTCTCCCTTAAGTTACTTTGGTCAGGGTATTTTATGTATTAAATTATTATTTAATCATTGAAATTAAGTGCAAGTATTAATATTTATCCCCTTTCCAGACTTACTCTTATTCCAGAGCTCCTCCTCCCACATGACCACCATACCCTGGAGATGTTACATCTTGTGCAGACCCAGCGTCTCCCTAGATTTTTCCTTCAGATCTGCTCAGCCTTCCCTTCCTTTGTGTTCCCCACTAACCCTGAGAAACACCCTACCTGGGACCCCATAGGCCTAAAAGCTATTATTTTCTATAAAGAGCTTTCAAATTCTCCCAAGCCATTGATGCAGCACTTTGACATCTAATCACTTGATGGTGGAAGTAATCTAAAATACTTGGCTAAGATCCAGAGAGGGCAACAGCAACCAAAGAACAGAACACCCACCCAACAGAGACAAGACAAGATATCTACATCAAGGAACACCACAAACATCATAATTCCAGATGCCTAGATCCCAGCACAAAAACACAAACATGACAGTCAAATCAATATGCATCTTCCAGAAGCCAGCAACACTAAGCAATAGGCTTTGAGAAAAACAATTTAGCTGAAGCACAAGACAAGGACTTAAAAATGGCAATTAGGAAGATAGCCAAGAACCTTAAAATAAATGATTTCATGAAAACACAAAAACTGAATAAAATAATGAAAGCAATTCATGCCATGAAACCGAAATCTAACAAAGAAATAGAAACACTAAAGAAAACTCAAATGGAAATACAATTAGAAATGAAGAATTTAGGAAGTCAAACAAAAACCTCAGAGGTAAGTCTCACCAACAGATCACAAGACTGGAAGAGAAGGTAGAAGAAAGATAGCTCAGTCAAAGAAAATATTAAATCTTAAAAAAAACACACACAGGCACAAAACTTCCAGGAAATTTAGGACACCATGAAAAGACCAAATGTATAAATGATAGGTATAGAAGAAGAATAAAACCAGGTTAAAGGCACAAAAAATATTTTCAAGAAAATCATAGAAGAATTTTTTTCCTAACCTAAAGAAGGAGATGCCTATAAAGTCACAAAAAGTTTTAAAAAACACCAAATAGACTGCACCAGAAAAGAAATTCAGCCAGGAGTTGGTGGCACATGCCTTTAAACCCAGAACTCGGGAGGCAGAGGCAAGCAGATCTCTGTGAATTCGAGGCCAGCCTGGTCTACAGAGCGAGTTCCAGGACAGCCTCCAAAACAATACAGAGAAACCCTTCTTGAAAAAAAAAAAGAAATTCCGCATAGCACATAATAATTAAAACACTAAATGTGCAGAACAAAGAAAGAATATTAAAAGCTACAAGTGAAAAATACCAAGTAACATATAAAGGCAAATCTATTAGAATAACTCATAAAAGAGAGAGAGCACAAGCCAGCACATAAAGTTGCTTAGGTATAGATATGGAGGTGAGGAGGATCTGGGAAAAGCTGGGAGAGGGCAAACATGAAAAAATAGATTGTATGAGAAAATTAATTAAAATAAAATAATGTATTTCATCCAATCTCCAACCCATGGTATGTGCTCCCACATTCAAAGTGGGTTTTCTCCCATCAATCTGTCTTGAAATGACCTCAAAGATAAACAGAAGTATGTTCAATCTACTAAGAGGTTCTAAATCAAGTCAAGTTGACAATGAGACTGGACAATATGAATAAAATTTACTCTCTGTTCAATGCTTTAAAAAGTATCTAGGTAGAATAATTAAGTAATGATACAATGTGAAAAGTATTGGAAAGAAAGAAGTAAAACTAATCCTATTTGCATATGACATGACATAAATAAAAAATCCCTAAATAAGTAGCTCTTCATGTTAATAACACAAGTTAGAAAAACTTGGGGGAATACAAAAATCAGTTATTAGCCAGGTGGTGGTGACACACACCTTTAATTCCAGCACTCGGGAGGCAGAGGCAGGTGAATCTCTGTGAGTTCAAGGCCAGCCTGGTCTATGGAGCAAGTTCTAGGACAGACTCCAAAGCAATACAAAGAACCCCTGTCTCGAAAAACCAGAGAGAGAGAGAGAGACAGAGACAGAGACAGAGACAGAGAGACAGAGACAGAGACAGAGAGACAGAGAGAGACAGAGAGAGACAGAGACAGAGAGAGACAGAATCTAAGAGACAGTTTTCATATAAAACTGGCTGACCTCAAAATTGCAAGGTAGCCAAGGATTAAGGTTGACCTTGAATTTCTGATCCCCTAGGATCTGTCTCCCAACTGATGGGATTATGGGTGTGTGCACTCCACTTGGCTTTATACCATGCTGTAGATCATCACCAGGACTTTCTGTTTGTTACACAGTTACTCTACCAACTGAGCTACATCTGAAGCCCCATATTTTTTGTAGTGCTGGGAACAGAATCCAGGACTTTCATACATACTAGACAAACAGTGTATCACTGAGATACAAGCTCCAGTCATTATTAATTCATTTTATGAGAGTAACAAGAAAATTTTTTAAAAAATAGTCTTTTAAACAAATGGTATTAGGAGAACCATATATCCACATACAAGGAATGCATTTATACTCATACCTCATATATTTGAAAATAACCCAAAATGGATCAAAAATCTAAATGTAAGAACTAAAACTACAAAGACTTTATGGGTTAGATATGAACATAAATTTTCTTATATTGGCAACAATTGTTACAGATGACATCAAAAGCAAAAGAAGCCAAATTAAAAAGTAACCTAGAGCTTGTCAAAATTGAAAACTTTTTCACTGGAAGAACACTATAAAAAAAGTTATGAATCCGCTCTGTTTTGCAGAGTCTTTCTTTGTACTTTATTGCACGCATACCTCACCCCTAATAAAGGCCTTTCTTTAGCAGATGATTCTGACTATTATGTTTGAGAATTCCCCCATTGCTACCTATTGAGATTGAGATTTTCCCTACCATTCCAGTTCTTTAATTGGCAGAGAAAATGAACCTGATCAAGACTCCTACATGGTAAAAGAACTGGACCAGGATTCAGATTTAGAGGGTCTGAAGCCCCAGCCCATAATATGCCTATAGGATGAAGTGGGTTCAACAAGCAGTAGAGCTACATTATTTCCCACTAAGTGTAGAGGTTTGGAAATGGAGCCTTTATTCTGTCCTTTTTTCTTTAGTTCATAACATTTCATTTGGACTTAGTTTCTGGTATTGAGCTTATATTAAAGGATTTCAAAGATTTTCTTCAGGAAGAAAATGGATTCTCTCTCTGAACTCTCTGTCTTTCTGTCTACCTCTGTCTCTGTCTGTCTGTCTGTCTCTCTTACACACACACACACACACACACACACACACACACACACACACACACACACACCTCCCTGTCAGGGTCTCCAGAATGACACCATTAAACTCACAAGGGCGACAGTTAAGTTAGATGGCAGCTAGAAAACATGCACTGGTTTTGATGTTATATTTTAACTGCATAGGAATTTAAAGAGAGGAAGGACTCATGAGTTCCAGTCTCTCCCTGGGATCTGTAGTTAACAGTTCCAAAAGGAAGGAGATATTCTTTGGCAGTATAGTCACTGACAAATTCCCCATGCTCCTGTAAACATCCCTCACCTGTGCTACATACAGTAAATAGTTCTAATTAAGCTTATTGGTTCAAAAACTAAATTAAGCAAAATACAGTTATTTCCCCCATTCAAAAGAAGAAGAGGGGGAAGAGGAGGAAGAAGGAAAAGGAGGAAGAGGTAGAGGAGGAGGAGGAAAAGGAGAAGAAGAAGAAGAAGAAGAAGAAGAAGAAGAAGAAGAAGAAGAAGAAGAAGAAGAAGAAGAAGAAGAAGAAGAAGAAGAAGAAGAAGAAGAAATCGAAAAAGGTCTCATGCTAGTAGTTAAGTGCTAAAAATACAAGGCAGGAAAATTAGTAGTTCAAGGCCAACCAGACATACTGGTGCATAGTTGGGAGGTAGAGGTAGGCAGATAAGTAGTTCAATGTTATCCTCAACTACATAGTGAGTTCAAGGCCAGCCTGAACTATATGAGACCACTTCGAAAACAATAACAACAATAAAATAAAATACTAAGAAAAGTCATTGAGTGAGAAAAAATACTTACAAATTATATATATTTGAGTGATAGGTGGATGAACATGGATAAGCATAGTTGTTTTCCAAAATAAATATTTGATAATAACTTTGTATATAGCATATATAAGTAATTCTTAGAACAAAATAGTATAAAATAACAATTTTAAAGTAGGTGTTTGGACATGGTAGTACATGCCTGTAATTTCAGCACTCAGGAAGCAGTAACAGAGGGCATCTGTGCTCCATAGGACGTTACAGGCCCCATGAGCTTCCTAGTGACATCCTGCCTCAAAAAAGTGGGGGTGTGAATGATCTTAATAGACAGTTATATAAAGAGACTTGTACAAATGGCCAGTAAACACATGAAAAGAAGCCCAAAATCATTAGGCATTAGGCAAGTACAAATAAAAACCACAATAAAATTATTCCTGATACCCACCAGTATGGTTGTAATAAAAAAAAAGACAATAAAACGTAGCCAAGGATGTGGAAAATTTGTAGCACTAACACATTGCTGGTACAAACACAGAATGGAGTAGTCACTTAAAGAAATAGTTTGGAAGTTTCTCAAACTGTAAACACTATTTACACAATAACTTATATATGAATGTTCATAGAAGCATTGTTCATAATAGCAAAAAGCAGGTAAAGCATAAATAAATTATAACCTAGTATCTACTAATTAATAAATGAGAAAACTATAACATGGCCTCATCTCATAGTGAAGTATTATTTAACAATAAAAAGAAATGAAATACTACTAGATGTTACAACAAGAATTAAGCCAAAAACAAAAGGTCACATAGTATATGGTTCCATTGAAATAAAACATCTGGAATAGCTAAATCCATAGAGACAGATCACAAATTGACTATTGTTATAGATTGAGAGGAGATGAAAATAGACAAAAACTATTGAGGTTTTACTTTAGAGTCATGGAAACATGACTAAATGCCACTGAGTTGTTTACTTTATGATAGTTAATTTCAAATTATATGAATTTTATCTCAAATGACTTAAAATAAAAACCAATAAAAAACATAAGCTAATATTTCCATTTATAAATAACA